ACGGATGTAGGGTGGCAAAGGGCACAGGGTGTAAATACGTTGTCTTGGTAGCGGGAAATGAAATCACTGACTACCAAACTTTGTGCCGTCGTTCCGTCTAGCGTTTCAGGCTAGAGCGCAAGTAACCGCCTTGCGCTTTGCATCAGATTTTATAGTACACGGCAGACAATCAAAACCGGTGGCGCGTTTGCTGCCGTCTCCTAGTCAGATTAGCCTGGTAAAGGGTGTTTGGCGCTGAGTTTACTGCGGGGGTAATGACTGATTACGACGTAGGGAAGAAGAAGCCGCAAGGAAACGGTCCCGCCGCCTATCCTTTGCATTATGCCCAGCTGTTTGTAACCGTATGTTGTTAACACAAGGTGTAGGCGCCTTAACACTAAAGGTTTGCTTAGGTCATTAAGGTTTTCAGCTATGTCCCCCTTCTCTCCATATTATTAACCTTTATTGCTTAGGGAACCATGGTTGTATTTCGGTGAGCATCGGTTTAAATGACTCATGTACTGCGGTTTTCATTATGTTCTTGATAAGTATACCCAATAAAAAGAGCTCAAATATTCGATCAGCTATGAGCAAAATGAATGAGATTGAAAGCAAGGCTTATTGCCGTGAATACTTAAAGTTTGGCGTAATTATACTTCAAGTGACGTCGCTCTATGAAGATGTTGAAGATAAGGTGGTAGAAATCGAGAGAATCATTTGCCAGCATGTCGAAAGGTAAACTAAATTCAGAGATCCGCGACGGAGGTGTTGTTACTTATTTAAATCCTGTGTAGTGCACGTGGACAAAATCTGGTTATTATTTTCTTCTCCACGTATTAATCAGTTTATTTTGTTATAAACCTAGATGGTTAAGTGCCTACCGATCAATTTGCTTGCAAATAAGCACACTAAACTCAGTCGTGTCTCCAGTTAGGCCGATGGATTTTACGAATGATTCACTTTGTGTCGTCATCTATGTTGATTTTTAATCTGCACATTTGCTGCGGATTCCAACAGCTGTGACACTACTTTTCTCGGAGACTTTGTGCTGCAGAACATTGCAAGCTTACTTACCAGACTTGAAGCAACTATGAAACGTAAAGTGATGAACAATGCTGAGCTGTTTTTCTGTTCAGTTAGGCACAGATTGGTAGTTCTGATCACGGAAATATAGTTATTTCCTATCGTGTACAGCAAGGTAAACCATAGGGTTATTACACGTTGTGAAGATCGCAAGCTTAGAAGAAAACAACAAATGCCTGAGAACATATATCTATTGCGGGAAATGATTTCATTGAAAGATTTTACTATATTTCCTGACAACGATGTGTCTAAACACATCGCCCAGTTAAAAAGCTATATTAACTTATGCGTTTCTACTTGCTTTCTGCTGGAAAACATTTTCATCCGCGCTTACCAATTTTCATCTTCATGCCTAGAACGCTTGCGCAAACCGAATGAGAAAGCATTCAAAACGAAAGACAACGCCGCAGTGAAATCTTTTGCTATTTCTATCAACCTTAAATTGTTCGCCTAAACCTCCTATGTGTCCAGATCATACTGGGAAATATTAGATGCCACGATATCTGGCGTATGCTGAAACAACTTAGTGGAGTATTTAACCAAATGTCAAATCCAGATGTAGACCTGGAAGAGCTGGACCGAAACTTCTATCGTCCCAACACTTGTTTCACCTCTTACCCTTTCTGAACAAGATTGGTTGGGCCCAAAATCTTCTTACCTGCCATGGACAGAAATACAGTGCGCAATAAACTGCCACAGCAAAATTCGAACAAAGCAAGTTACCTGGACGGACTACCATCCATTGTCCACAAAGTTCTGCCGATACCTTGGCCCAGCTACTTGCTGATCCAAAAACGTTGTGCGTGAGAGTGTGTAATATTGCTGACTACTGGAGAACAGCCAGAATTACACCGGTGGCAAAGAAAAGCACAGATAAATACCGATCAGTTGCCTGCACATCACTAAAAGTAAATAAGTAAAAAGTGAAAGTAAATTTTGCGCGACTGTTAACCACTTTGGGTTCAATTCACCTCAACCTATCGGTATCCCAAGAGATAGAACAAAATGGCAGCCAGCCATTTTTGGATATTCTCATAAAGAGACGGGATGGAGGTACACTGCAGCGCACCGTTTACTGCAAGGAGACCTGGAGTGAGCAGTACCTTCACCTTTCCAGTTTCTCCCCGGTTGCATACAAACGCGGTCTAGTTAGGACACTTTTCTACAGGACCAGACGAATTTGTAGTCCGGAAATGCTGGAAACTGAACAAAAGTTTCTGTATAGGACCTTAGTATCGAATGGTTATCCCGAAAAGTTCATCCAATTGCACAGCAAACCTCCAAGAAGAAACTGCCAGTGTACACGGCAGAGAAAAGGCTGTTTATTTGGTTTTGCCGTTTAAAGGGGACTATGTGGCAAATGATATCGAACACAAGCTCAGGTCAGCCATAAATCGCACATACACGACTGCCCAGTTGCGTCTCATGCACACTACCCGTAAACTGGTTCTTCAGGACCGTCAGAGCTACCCTTTGGCTAGTTCGGCCTCTCATGTGGTTTATCAATTCACCTGCAGTTGCGGTGATGTTTCATAGGCAAGACTAACCGTAGGTTGGCTCAGAGGGTGGCTGAGCACTTGCCAAAGTGGGTTGAACAAATGATAGCGCAACAGAACGGAACGCCCCACAGAACTAATCGGAGTCCGTCATCATCTATCGCCAAACACCTCTTGACAACTGGTCACTATGATAACCCCAATAATGCGTTCAAGGTGTTATTACATAACAGGAGCCCGATAAGGTTGACAATCAGTGAGGCGTTGCTAATTAGAGCTTATCAACCTGTGTTATGTGCACAAAAACTCTTGAGTCAATCAATCAGATTGCTTTGGTTTTGATTTTGACAGTTTCGTTAATGTGCCAATATTTTCCCATGCATATAAATGTTTATGTTTTTCTGCTTGTATTGTGTTTGCGACTAATGAGAGCAATCGAAATGTTGACATATCGCAACCTATGTCTTCTTTCTGCTTTGACGAAAAGTAAATATATTCGAAAAGGTTATTCTTGAATGGTTGCTGAACCACGCTCATCCGCATGATCTGCTGCAGTTTGCCTATCGTGGTTTGAGTTCACTCAGGATGCATTAGCCCATGTTGTACATTGAGTGCTATCGTCACTAGAAAACAAGGACAAATAGGTACGCATAATTTTTCGCAAATAGAGTAACGCTTTCGGCAGTGTAAACTGTGAGTATTTTTGGGAAATCTGCACTATGCCGAATTACAACACTCTACAGCCCACCTTTTGAGTGACTAGTTCACGGGATGTGTTCAGGTTACCCGACTTTGGGGTAAAAACGACCTCGGCGCTCACCAGAGACACTAGAGTTCTTCAATGAGCCAGAATGTCCCCATACCACTTTAACACCTACATCGCCTATTTAGCTAACTCTGCCGATGCGGCAATGCAAATATAAGCAAGACGACGTAGCCTTGGGTATGCAATAACCGGTATCAACCGCATAATCTATATTACAAGCCTATCGGGACAGTCCTGTAAGTTGGTCCAGAGCCCACTTTATATCACAGAATGTAGAAAAATGCAATGATGTCATTTTCTCCCTACATAAAGACCATGGTTATCAGCAACTTCTCATGGACTGCCCTGAATTCACATAGGTGGCTAGAATTTGCACACAAGATTGTCAGTGAATAACGTTGATGTTACACTCAGTCGCGATCTTTCCTGTTCACCCCATGTTACTGATGCTTTTACTAGTATGATATAGTTTTCGATCTATACCCTTCTTTTACGATCCTTCTTTGTCCCGCGCCACGTAATTCTGAGATGTATCGACGCAATTGTCTTCCCTCTTTGGATCTATTGCTCCACTGCAATTATTCTTGGTTTCCTAAGGAAACACTTCAAAATCGCATGTGCGTCACTAATGCAATTTTCTCGGTATGGTGGAATTCCCAGTCCAACCTTTGTTGAGTTTCTTATGTCCACTCGCATCAACTCATGCATAATACTAGCTTTGAGAATGCTTGCTGAGAAATGGCATACCATTCATGGTGCGCTGCCTGAGCGTGTTTTAATATCCTTAAGTAGAAAAAGTATAAAGCGTGGCCACAAATTCACAGAACACTCCACATTTTTGCATATACCCACGTGTATATGCATAACTATAGAATATCGTGTAAGATACTTGTCTAAGAAAAGAAGGGCTCTTCGCTAATTAATGAAATTTATTGGAATAAGCATGTGCTAGCCTATGATCACACTGTCATGGATCCAATGCGTCGGTGTGTTCACCATCATTCACAGCACATAGACAAATGCGTCTCCAAGTGCGTGTTGAGATGCGTTGTAGTACCTCGGGGGAAATCGAGTTCAATGAAGCAAGACTTGCAGCGTTAAGTTTTTATGTTTTGTTGTACGATGTTATTCTGATGTGTTCTTTCATCATGCTCCCCATGGCATTGTCGCGTGATGATAGGTCAGGACTGGGAGTTTAGCATAGATTCTGTGATCCAAGTCCAATCCACCGGCCAGGGAAATTCTCATCCAGGAACCGGCGCACTGAGATATCAAAATGTGCAGGAGCACCATCTTGCTGCCGAATAGTTACACGCATGATTCCAGTTGAATCCACTTGCGGAATGAACCAGGTCTCCAACAATTATCGGTAAATGTACTGATTCACTGGCTTTTCAAAAAAATGGCGCAATAATTTTGATGGTTGATATTACCGCCCACATCATGACTCTCGGTGGATTATAGGCGATTTCTTCAGCACATTATGGGTTAATCTTGCTCTAAATGTAAACATTTCGTGATCGTGAGCTGAGATAGACAGCACATTCACCAGTAAAGAAGACATTGTAACTACTGCGTAAGTGGGGAATTCCTGGAGAAAGCATTGACAAGCTTCTATTCGACTCTGTCGATCAATATCAGACAGTTAACCTACCTGCGTTGGCTTAAAAGCTGACATGCCTAGGTTAGTTTTGAGTACCATTTGGAGTGTGGAGCGTGAAATATGCAACTCAGCAGACCTCTTACAAGTCGATTTCTGTGGTGAGTTGCACATTGAGTGCCATATGATTTCCACGTACTCCACTCTGGAGGCAGGGCGTCCAAAGCGAGGGGCATTCAGCACGGATCCAGATGCAATTGTTTTCATCCATGTCAGTAATGTGTCCTCTTTAGGTGACCGTTTATTAAAACCCTCCTGGAATTTGTCGGAAACATCAGTCATTATTCTTTTTCTAGCATGCAATCATGTTCCCATACAGGAACTTGTGTAGGTGCTTTTTTGAATGTGTCTTACGCATATGCTATAAATAAAAGGATGAATTCGCAACCATTTAATAGTAACCGGTATTACAAAATACATCATTTATTAAGCATGACAAAGGTCATCGTAGCCACCCTGTAGATCAATTTTGCTAACACAAGTACCTACCACTCATCCGTTAATCTATATATGGCAATTATTTTGTCCGACAAGATAGCAGTTTCTCAGGACATTAAGAGTGTTTGCATCGTAACCGTATTGCTTTTTCTGCCACTTATTACACTACTCTTGCATTTAATGCTTGTTTTTCTTCCCATACTGTACGCGTGAGCTTAACAACTGAATATTTACCCAATGTGGCTGCATAATGGACTTTCTTGAATTGAAATGTATTTCTTTACTTGAACCCACACCAAGTCAGCCACCCATATCAAACGCATCACTCAAAAGTTTTCCAAATTGAGCGATAAAGTCACTACTAAGCACCACCGTAGCTGTAACTTTACTTTAACAAATGAGTTCATCCAGTTTGTGATAAAATAAATTTTTCCCTGAGTCAATTTTGCAGCACTGACTAAAAGATACCATCTGTTTCCGCACGATTTCAAGGCTTTACTAATACCAGCCAAGCTGACAGCGACCATTCGGCTGTTGACTGGAATATACTCCATCAGCGAGGCTTTATCCAGGAGTTCAGAGCAATGCTCACACTAGCTTGACCGGCATTGGATGCAAGGTCATTACTGAATAAACTACGAGTAATTCCTAATTTAGCGGTAAGAATAAGCAAAGACAGTAGCATCAGCATGGCGTTAGTTTGCAAGTGGTTGGTCAAAGAACACGGGGACTATCAAACACAAGGGAAACGCACGCAGCAGACCGCAGAACAACGCGGAACGTATCTTCAATTAGGGTGCAGTTGTTTGGTTTAATAGAACAAAATGTACAATAAGTAAAAAATAAATACATTTTTATTCTCGGCTACGCGAGTTACGCCAATGAAAGAATGATCATTGTAATAGTACAACAATTAAACAAGGACTTACAGTAGTATATGATTTTAATATATGTGAATACATAAATGTAGGTATGTAGGTAGGTGCTTTTTGTGTTTGTAAATATGTTGCACTTCTGTTAAATGATTTCGAGCATGTCATCAGGGTCAAGGTATCTTTGCCGTCTGTGTTTTTGATAAGATTGTCCACGTAAGCAAAGGAGGTGTCTTTTGTTAGTAGCGAGTCACATCCGCCAAGTCACAGAATTGTTAACCAGATATCTGTAGCTCTTAATTGGGAGAGAACTTGTCAGGCGAAAGCCCACCACCTCCTGGAACACTGTCGCCAACATGTTTACTGGATTGGGTTAAACCCGAACCACCTAGCTGACGCCACGACGAGGCTGTTTGGCTTGCCACAAAGATGGCATTTACTAACGCTACACCATGATGTACAATGGAAAGAGAGATGCGGTAGTGCCCCCAAAATAGACTGACTATCATTTCGAATATTACCATTTGTGCAACATAAAGGTAATATCGCACCGTGCTCTCACAGTTACTGAAGTTAAATTACCCCTAGAACAGTGCAGAACGATTTTGATAGTCTACTTAAGTTGCCATTCATTTCCTTGTCCTATTTGGATTATTCCTATGCGCAGTGACCTTAAAACAAATATGAAAATACATTGTGAATAGTGCGTACGCTTGATCAATCAACTAAGTGACACTATGCTCCGGTATCCCACTTGCGTAATGTCACTAGCTTATGCTTGTGTGTTATGGACTATGATGCCTATCACCGGCTTTTAAGACAAATTTCTACGAGCAAACGCTGAATAACAGAAGTTTGGGGCTATCAGTCTAACTGATTAGAAATCTATAGAACTGCCACATCAAGGCAGCCACACCTACATAATTTTGTCAGTATATTCCAGCATATTTGTTCACCGGCTCCTGTAGTAGTCATGACAATTTACTTACCTACCATAGTCTCTATCCCTAATATACCTTACCCCTCCCTACTTCTGGTCCACGGCTGTCTACTTTTCATGAACGCCCTTGTTATAACTGACTACTAGGACTTCTCCCTTGACCTTCCAAACAGCATTTCAATCTACCCATTAGCATCAGCCTCCTGGATCACTACGAATTTGGTCTACGACTGACTACCTTAAACCTGCTTAACCTACCTTTTGATTAAAAATATGGCTTCTGAAACGATTAGCTTCGTTGGCCATCCAAGGAGTTTATCACCTAAGCTATGAAATCCGTCTCTCCCTGTGCAAATCATACTAGACCTAGTTCCTATTTTGACTACATCTTCTAGCATTTAAGACGTCGGTTTCACTATTAGCCATGAGCATAAATGTACATACCGGCCTCCATTTGTAATCCATCTTAACTCTTAATGCTTCCCGTGCAAAACTTATTATTTAACTCTTCATTAACCCTCTGATTATATTTTGACTACTACTGATGCTGTCTTGAGGTTCCAGAGAGTTTCGCTACCATAGGCCATTTCATCACTCAAAATGCTCTTTCCTTTGAATCCTAAGATAGCAGGAGGCTGCAGATTTCTGCGCGCCGCAGCGCTTTGCTTTCTTATATACAGAGACCTAGTTACCAGATTTAACGCATAGTCCTTCTACATTGATACATATCTCTGTGTCTTGGGTATCAACAGGTTTCTGGTTCCAACTAAGAAGTGTTAAACGCTCAGTGGGTGGATTACATAACCCTTTGGGCGTTGCATTTTTGCTTCATTCTTCCTGAAGTTTAATTACAATACCCTCGATATGTTGTCTATGAAACTGACGTGCCCTCGGCTTCCGCTCTATCACAGGCTTTTCCATCAATTACTATGATCTAGCCATCAAGCTTTAAGGTAGTATTACGACAATTCTTAGCGTGCAGCAGCGCGCTGATTGCATATATTCACTTGTCATTCACTCGCAGTATAAACCATACTGGTACTTACGTTATAGCATAACTTAATTCTGTGTGCGTCGAAACACTTTAGTTTCCCATATCCTCATGCCGTTTTACCATATAATTCCGACACAAACTATATTCTGCTCGTACATACTGACCAAATGCTACATCGCTGGAACATTCATAACTCTGCTTGTTCTAGGCATAACTTCCTAGCATGATGTAACTCTCTGCGCGTCACCGTTTAGCTTCAGGTATCTTGCTCCCTAATTACTATTTACTGGACACAAAATTTTGTAACTTTCTGAGCTCTCTTGCTAGCATATTATTATGACTCGGTAGGCTCGCGCCATCTTGTTATCTAGCATCGCGCCTCCTGATGTTCGCTTTTCCATTATTCGATGCGACGTCTTTGTGTAGCTACCCTGGTCTATCACGTGCTTTTACTAGCTCAGTTTGTGTTAGCTCTTTTTTGTTTAGCAGAACTATCAATCTTCCCCGACCGATGCAGTTAGTTGTGACCCATACATGACACTCATGAAAACTGGCTATTCATGCATGACAACATGATATATTCCGGTCGGCTAGTATTTGGTTTTACTTACCACCTTACGACTGACTGAACCTCCAAGTGAACCTTAGATCTATTTGGTTATTACAGAATTATTCCAGCGATCAACCCAAAAGAAAATGTGCCATATATTCATTCGGCAGCTCAAACTTAGTCTGCGATATAAGCTTGCAGCCTGGTAGTCCCAGCAAGCTTCGGAAATGGAGGCCACTGTGCTGTTCGTCAATACTCGCAAGCATTTTCAGCTCATTCGATCTACTGGCCACAAAAAGTCTTGTGTCAGTGTGACTATTTGCGAAGCGGATGTTTCGCCTGTAGTCAACCTACAAAGACACTTGGATCTATAGGTCGAAAATTTTTATTACAGTTCATTAAACACTCACTGTCCATTTGTATGCCCTGCGAACCAAGCCTTTCGCACTGGGTCACCACATTTGATCGGCCTACTAAAGCGGAACTTTGTCGTGCGGTTTTACACCTGAGTCGATTTAAAGATGCTGGCTCTGATGGACTTCATCCGGAACTCTTTAAGTATCTGGTGCAGTTATCGACAGCCAGTTAAACATATTGTTACCCAAAATTTGGCATGAAGAAATGGTTCCTTCTTCGTTGTCCTGAACTATAAGAAGAATGCTCACAATTATGCATCAATTGCTGGAAGATTAGTCTCATACCGGTTGTTACCAATCTAATCGCGTCCAGTTTACTCCGTGGACGTTCCCCTGCCATGAATCGCAGTACAGGGATGGACGAACTCCCTTCCATCCTGTTTGTGTGCACGTAGATCAAATGATCCCGCTCCGCCAAATCCAGGAGCACTGCCACCTCTACCAAAAGTCTACCATCATTGAGTTCTTGGACTTCCATCTTGCATTAAATTCAGTTGCTCGACCTGCGTTTTTGCGTTGCTTTCAAAAGAACGAAGTCCCAGTATAGTACACAACCATCCTACTGTATTCTATTCCCATATCGGCACAATGGGAACCTATGGCAAGTATTCGTCGTCATTTACTGTCAATAGCGGTGTGCGACAGGCTGCTCTTATTCCCACATTCTCTTCAACTTTACGAATGAAGACGTCCAGTTGCCAGCTTCGGGTGGTTGTAAAAATTGTGGACTGTAACTGCTTTTCTTCAAGCATGCGATTTACTTATATTATGTCGATGACTCTACTTAATTGGTGGCGACACGCAACACGTGCAAACCGTCTTAAGCCGTTTTTCGATTTTGGTATCTGAGTTTGCTTCAAACTTTGCTCCACTGACTTATAAACTTCTACTCCAGGATCGGCACTTCCCCTTCCCAGTGATCACCGTTGATATGTTAACTTTGTTCAAGTGGGCAGCTTTTAGGACATTGGCAGTTGTGTGTCTAACGGTGTCGCTATTAAGGAGAAATTTTCTCTCCGCATCTTCAAAGCTTGGTCAGCGTTCGCCAATATGAAGCACTTCCGGCTTCGTCAGGATGTCGATCCATGGCAAAGGGTCGCGTGTACAGTGCCAAC